GCAGCAAACAGCAACAAGCAAGCAAGCAGGCGGCAGCGGCGGCGGCCGCGGCTCCGCACCGCACCACGCTACGGAGGCGTGCGCGCACGCCGCTCTCCTACAGCAATGAAGCGACTTGCTGGTTGTGGCAGGGGCTGGAGCATGTTCGGACGTCTCTTACCCGACCCCGCGGCCATTTTCCGGCCGGCCATGGGCCTCTGAGCCATGTTGGTCGCTGCCCGCGCCCCCGCAGTGAGCCCCTTCGCTCCCCGCCCACGTCCACGCCTCGCCCTCGCCCCTCGCCCTCCCCTCCCCCTTGCCTCTAGCTCCTGCCCCAGCCGCCCCGCCTCTACCTGGTCCATTAACATCGCTAACGATGGCGTACGTGCATCTCAGCGATCCTTTCTTTCTATTCACTTTTGGCATCTTAACTACCCACATTTTCAGTTTACCATTCATAATCCTTTCAGTATTGCAGTAATGTGCATGTGTAGTTTTCTTAAAATTGTTTGTGAAACAATATTATTAAGAAACATTTGCACATATTACATGATATTTATTTACTAAATATTATTGTTTATTTTATGAAATTGGTTTTACATAACGCCACATTATAATACAATTGGGCCAAGTAGAACGGCTGTGGTTTTTCGTACGTTTTAGAATCCAAAAGGCTTCCTTCCTTGCTCTGTACCTTTTGTGCAGTTAAGCACACCTTCCTATAACTGTGAAATCTTTCTTTACTTTCTTTATCTGGTCCAATGTCTTTGTGTCGCCCGACTTCTGCTGCGGGAAGTTTACTCGGTTCCCTTACGTGGCTAGCGACTAAAATTGATGACCCGGACATGATCCCTGGATTCCTCTCGGCGGTTAGGGGCGCAAACGTCACGTCGGCATGCCTTCCGAATATTTGTAAAACTCGGAAGTGTACGTCCAATTGCTATTTCCTATTTAAATATATGCGCATTATCGTCCCTTATATCTTTATCTCTAAAGTATTTTTATACATCCGTAAAATGATTTTGAAAATTGGTTTAAATATTTGACAACGATATACATTTCTAAATATAATTTCCAATATTAAAAATAATATGATTCATATCTTTCATTTACATCTGAAAGGATGCTGACAGAATTTAACAGTACTGTCTTTTATAAAATTTGTTCGTTTTTCTTCAGTGATACCTTCTTCAACTTTTAAATTATCAGTGCTTTTTAGAAAACGCAATTATAATTGATTATTTTGTTTGTAAAATTCCTTCTTTTCTGAACAGAAAATTGCTTATAAGCCAATTGTTGGTCTTCCTCTTGTAACCAGGAAGCCTTCGCCAGTATACTTGACGTGACGTTACGCACCCGTTTTGTAACATATATCACTGCCCTGAGTACGCTCCATATTTATTATTCCCTATCCAAATAATGCATTTATAATGTTCCTCTACTGATATTAATAATCAAGGTAATTTTTGCGCAACAGTTTCCATTGCGATAAAACCATTCGTTGTTGAATTCGTCCATAGGTTCGCCCGCACGTTTGTTCTATAGCCCGTGCTGCTGCACGGCAAAGCGATGTATCAATAGGATTGACTGAAATTGAATCGATTCTTCATTAATCGAATATAATTTGTAAAAAGAACGAAATACCTATTCTTTTGGGAAAAGTACATTGTTGAGTTTATTAATATATTGTACGAAAACATAATGTCAATTTCGAACAATTTTTTAATTTAATGATACCATGCTAAGCTAACAAATAAGAAATAAATTAATAAAAATTCTAAATATGATTTAAAATTTTTGAGGAATGGAATTTAGAAGGGGAAAACTGTTTTAATAAAAACGAAACTCGAGTAATGATCGAATTGAAAGAAAAAATGAATTTTCTTATGCTTATTAGCTTTAGTAGAAGTTAATGAACGGGGAGTATAGATTTCCTCGTAGCCGGCTAATCAGATTAAAATTATATTTTGAGAAGTTCTAATCGTTTCTAAGAATCGATTGTCACAAACTCGATTCGATTCGCCGCCGTCTCTTTGAGAGAGATTCGTTCGCCGTGCAGCACCGCGGTCCTCCGATCTCGCGGCGACGTCCCAGCTCTCGGCGTCGCCGCGAATCCCCCAAAGGGCGAGTGCGTTGCTCGGCC